TATTTATTTAATTCCATGTTGTTGTTATTATTTTAATTTGACCAGAGAGAGACAGAAAGGGTAAGTGAGACAGCAAGCCGCCAGGACCGGAACTGCAACCACAGTTGGTCATGCGGAAATCCAGTGTCTCAACCACCACACCACCTGCCGGCCCCCCAAAATAATTCTTTATTAAAAAAAAAAAAGAAAGAAAGAAAGAAAAAAGAAATCTCTGTACGGAGTGAAAGTTAAGCAGTGCAGATGGGCGTTAAGGCCAAACGGCCGTCCTCTTCTCCATTCAGCCTCCCCCGTACCACATGCCTAGAGCAGGCTCGCTCATCCTGGGTCCTTTTCTCCTAACTGGCGAGACTTCTACATTCTCTCTGTATAAAGCTTTAGGGAAACACAAACAAACAAAGGCCTACACTTCCTTTCCAGGCTCTCCTTCTCTCCCAGTCCCCAGCTGCCCTGACCAGCAACCCCCATGCACGCTTATGTCAAGCTGACATTTGACGTGCGCAGCTCCTCTCCTCTGGCATTTTAGCTTTTGCTCCATGTCGTCATTACGGCTCACGGCACTCGCATTTTTTACATTTGTACCTTTTCCCGGGAGCTCCTGAGTGCAGGGATCATCTTACTCATCTTTGAATTCCGCACATGTGTAAGTATGGTCCGTTGATGCAGTAGATAATACGCAGAGAGGACCCAGCACCTTAGACCCCGAGCAGCAAATGGCTTAAATGTCAGGTTATGCTTACCATGGCTCCTGAGGCAGAGCTTTAAAAATCAGGCCCAGGGGCCAGCAGGTAGTGTGGTGGTTAAGGGCACTGGACTTCCATATGGCTGACCACGGTTGGAGTCCTGGACCTGGTGGCTTGCTTTTTCACTTTTCTTCTCTCTCTCTCACTCTGTCCCTCTCTGGTCAAATTAAAATAAATAATTAAAGTTAATTAAAAGAATTCTTGGGGGAAAAAAAAAAAGACCCAGATGAACCTAAATTCTACTCTGTAGAGAGTAAAATGACTAGGAAAATAAAAATTCCTGTCCACTTTTTCTTTTTAGTTTCCTCTTAACCAGGCAGATCTCAAAGTGTGTTTTATAGACCTCTAGGTCTCCCAAGACCCTTTTAGCAGGTCTGTAAGGCCAAAGCTATTTTCATAATTTGACAAAGGTGTTATTGACCTTTAAAAACAAAACAAAACTGGGAACCAGCAGTTAGCGTAATGGCTATGTCACTGGACTCCCACGTAGTCGACCGCAGTTCGTGTCCCGGACCCGGTGGCTTAAAACTCACGCCGGGCGCGTGTGTGTGCGTGCCCAAGATCCCGAGAGGAGAATGGAGGAAAAGGGATTGCGGCGTAACCATCCCCCCTGGGGGGTGATTTCTCGCTTTCTGTCTCTATGTCTCTCTCTGTCTGCCTGGCGAGCGCACGCACCCTACAGTGAAAATCTCTCCAAAAAAAAAAACAAAAACAAAACTACATTGCCATGTGCACCAATGGTGCAAAAGCAGTGATGTGCGAGACTCCCGAGACCTCAGATGTCACACCAGTAACACCCACATCAAGTGGTGAAAACTATACATCTCATAACTCTTGGCTCTTGAGTAGCATCTTTTTAACATCCTCAGTGATAAAATGGGAGGGTCACATGAACACTTCTGATGCAATACTGAAACAGCACGATTGCCTTGAGGAAAAGTATTTTTGAGTTGTGAGAGGAATTAGCCAATATGTTTTCATGGGATATCAGTTTTATTTGGAAGAATGGCTGATAGACAACCTCTGGTTATTCTTTTACTTTTAAAAGACATTTCTGCTATAGGGCATATGTACTTCCTGGAGAGACAGCCCCTCTTGGGGGATGGCCAAGCTGCAATCCCTTCTCCTCTCAGGATTTGGGCACATACACACACACACACACACACACACACACACACACGTGCCCGGTGTGGTTTTCAAGCCACCAGGTCTGGGACACGAACCATGGTCAACTCTGTGGGAGGCCAGCGCCTTAACCACTACGTAGCCTGCTAGCTCTATAACCTGTGGTTATTCTGACATGGCAAATAATCTTCAGGGAAACATTTCCTTGAAAATGAACTAAGGGGGGACCAGCATGTGGTGTGGTAGTTAAGGCACTGGAAACTCCCACATGGCCGACCATGGTTGGAGTCCTGGACCTGGTGGCTTGCTTTCTCACTTTCCCTCTCCTCTCTGTCTCTCTCTGTCTCTCTCTGGTCAAATTAAAACAAATGAACAAATAATGTTAAATAAATAATTCTTTTTTTTTTAAGAAAGAAAGAAAAAGAGAGAAAGAAAGAAAGAAAGAAAGAAAGAAAGAAAGAAAGAAAGAAAGAAAGAAAGAAAGAAAATGAACTAAGGGAGGCTGTCATTTCAAGGACATATTTTGTTGCCCAGTAATAAACTTTGTGAAAATTCAAATTTTGGAAAACTTACATCCACCACTAGGAGTGCAACACTTAATACATTGTACCTTTTCTGATGAGGTTGATGGTGACGTGGATGAGTATTATTCTGAGATACTGTGCAACCAATCTGGAAGGTCTGTGTAGCTCAGTGAACTCATCTTTTCTAGTGACCAATGCACATCGTTACAGTAACTGTCCCATGGCTGAAAGTGCCAAACCAGGAGTGGGTTGAAATGTCACACAGACGTAACGTTGACTGATAGGGATTTGGATTCCATGTTGCAACTCACTTTTAGGAAACTACCACTTGTCAAGTTGGGGAGCAGGATGGAAGACGAATAGACTGAAAAGCCTGTTAAACTCCTTTTTCCCACCATTTCTGTGAGGCTGGGTTTTCGTTATGTGTCTCAACGAAACGACGCGTGTGACTGAACGCAGAGGCAGATGGAACTCCGAGTGCTTCTTATTAAGCCAGATATGGAACAGATGATGATGGGAATGTGGATGTTTACTTCTTCCATGAGCAGGAGAGACAGCGAGGCGCAAGGAGGACACACCCCAGACGGTCTCGAAGCCATGGTCCATTCCCGGTCAGCTCCAAGGCATTGCGTGCACACCCCGCATACTCAGAGAGGGCTCCAGAGGTGAGCCCGGGCCTTCCCACGTGATTAGCTCTGCAGAGTGTCACAGTGTACTGCCGCGCCACTGTGTGGCCCCTGAGTATTGTAAACATTCACAGATAAACAAAAGCTTTTGGGGTCTTCAAGGATTTCTCAGAACGTAAGGAGGTCTTGTGACCAAAAAGTTTGAGACCTACTGAACTAACCAATAAGAGCATTAAAAAAATTTTTTTATGATAGCACCTCATGCATGAGAGACAAACACCCTGGACAGTGTCCTCACACCTTGACACCCCTGCCCCAGCTCTCCCGCTCTCCAAGATCCCAGGCATCCCTGCCCGTGTGCCTGGAGTGTTTTTCAGGCTGACCCGGGGATCCAAACCCACCCTGCATTTGAGCTGTTGCTGCATCACAGCTATTTGTTTTGTTTTGTTTTGTTTTTGGTATAGGGCGCTTGCGTTCGCCAGAAAGACAGAAGAGAGACAGAGAGACAGAAAGCGAGAAATCACCCCCCAGGGGGGATGGCCACGCCGCAATCCCTTCTCCTCCATTCTCCTCTCGGGATCTTGGGTACACACACGGGCACCTGGCGTGAGTTTAAGCCACCGGGTATGGGACTCAAACCATGGTTGACTACATAGGAGTCCAGCGACATAGCCATTACGCCAACTGCTGGTCCCAACACAGCTAATTTTTAAAGAGATCATTTAAAAATGATTTTACTCAATAAATCTGATTTTACATTAGCCTAGAAGAACTACCATGACAGTGTGGTAAAACACAAAGCAGATATCCCCAGGAGACAGATGGAGAGAGCCAGGGCGGAGAAACCAAGGCGCGCCCGTAGTCACCCGGACACCGTCTCTGCAGCACCTGTCTTTCGTTTTCCAAGCTCAAGGCAATTCCTACCCGGCGCCTGCACTTGCCCACGGCAGAAAGGCCAGGTGGGATGGCAGTCGTTGGCACCGCGTTTGCGGCTCCCCCGGGGC